GCAATTCCCAGAAGCGGTTTTTCCATCTGTCAAACTTGCCTCAGGCTCCTCCCTCTAGCTGGAAAAGCACCCTGCCTCCATGTCTGCCTAGTGAGGGCAACTGATTACTCCCAACCCCTCACCCCGCCTCACCACTCCAGCCCTGCTGACCACATATTAACCTTGGGTCAATGCTTGTATGTTTTATTTGTGTGCGTGACTTGCTTGCCTCTGCGGTGTTTCTCAAGTGCTTACGGTAGGCTGGAAATAGGTACGAGGTACTTGACAGGAGCTATCTGATTTGATTCAGTCCTGGAAACAGCCGTGTGAGAGATATGACTCCCTCCATTTTATTGGACAATCTGAGATTGTCAGAGGTTAATGATCTTGATTCCTTACTAAGTGTCAGAGTCATCGCTCACTCAACACATTTTATCCCAATCTGTGTCTGCCAGGTTCCTAGGGCCCCCTGAGCTTTTCAGTATGGATTGGGAAGTCCCTCAGGGGCAATTAACACAGCAGCCTCAGGACAAGGTTGGCCATGCCAGAGGCAGTTTTTCTGTTCCCCTCCTTCGATTCAGATTTGTTGCACAATGAAAAAAAAGAAAAAAGAAAAGTTTGGGTCTCAGTCAGCATTTAGCCTGGGCCAGCACAGGGCTAGAGAGGTGATTCACGAGGGCAAACATGATCCAGGATGTTTGGTTCCACTGGTGACCCTGATTATTTGTAAAACTGGGCCGGGAGTGCCAAGCCCCGGCACACATCCAGCAGTTTCCACACCCAGTGCTCTGCCCCCTCAGTAAGACCTCAAGCCACGCCTCCCTTCTTCCTGCTCCAACCTTGGGGGGGAGATCTCAGCTTTTATAGATAGTGTGTGACAGAAATACTGTCACTAGGATCAGCCTTAGCATGACAGGAGGCCCCAGCATTAACACCCAACAGAGAAACTTTCATAGAATCTCTTGAGAAAAGCCTATCAAAATCAAGAACTGGGAAGAATCCATCTCCCTCGAACTAGATTTTCACCTTTTAGGGTTGGAAACCCCCAAACTCGTTGGATCGGATCGTATTGCCTAATGAAGAACTTTGTAATAATGGACTCATTCTCTTCCTTATTATTTTGGAGTCAAGGGTGTTCAGAGGCTGTTTGCTCAAGAAGAGTGTCAACAGAGCTTGCTGGTGCCCATGGCCAACAAACACGCCTCCAAAGCCACTGCTATATGGCAGGAGGTGTGGATCTATTTAAAGAATCTGAGCAGAGAAGTGGAGGTGAAGCAGTTTCGATTTTGTATCTGAGGTGTATTTTTATCTTTCTGTCAAGAGAGCCCTCTCTGAGGTTGGCATTATCAGATTGCCCATTCTATGGCTCCCAAAAACTGTGGAGCGTTGAAACACCTTTCATACACTGCCTTCAGCTCACTCACTCCTAAGTAAATACTGGTTGTTAAATAGGCCTTAAGACAAACTGTGCATACAAAGTAGATTTCTTAAATTAATGTTCCTCTCTCCTTCTCAACCAAGATGGTGTGAATGTTCAAGGCCTTCAGTGTCTCATATGGCCCATATTGGCCAAAGAGCTAATGACAAGCAGCAGTTGGATGGTAGAATTCTTATCTTCTACAAAGGAAATGACAATGTTTAATTCTTAGACAAGGCAATTAGACCACAGGCCACCAAGGCCAGTGAACCAATGTCACTGGGAAGATCATCATGTTCTTGGTTATCTTTAAAAATATATCATGAAGTGGTGTGGTAAAAATATAGATGGTCCAGGCCAGGAGCCTACCACAGAGGGCCTCTGAAAAACTCTATCCAGCAGGGTATCAAAGCAGATGAATAACCAAACTTTGGGCAGAGTGCAGGGAATCTTATGAAAGAAGGGGGAGAAATAAGACCTGAAGAAGACAGGAGCTCCACAAGGAGAGCAACAGAACCAAAATATCTGGGCCCAGGGGTCTTTTCTGAGACTGATGCTCTAACCAAGGACCATTAATGGATATAACCTAGAATCCCTGCTCAGACGTAGCCCATGGCAGCTCAGTCTCCAAGTGGGTTTCCTAGTAAGGGGAACAGGAACTGTCTCTGACATGAACTCAGTGGCTGGCTCTCTGATCACCTCCCCCTGAGGGAGAAGCAGCCTTGCTAGGCCACAGAGGAAGACAAACGCAGCCAGTCCTGATAAGACCTAATAATCTAGGGTCAGATGGAAGGGGAGGAGGACCTTGCCTATCAGTGGACTTGGAGAGGGGCATGGAAGGAGATGAGAGAGGGAGGGTGGAATTGGGAGGGAGGGAGGGGGCTACAGCTGGGATAAAAAGTGAATAAACTGTAATTAATATAAAAAATAATAATTTAATTAAAAAGTGTAGATGGCCATGGTCAGGGTATAATTGGGACTAATAAAACTTCTAAAAAGCCCAATGACTGGAGTCACTTTGCAGTTATTGCTGATTTTCTTCCCAGTGTGTGTGTGTGTGTGTGATGTGTATATTTATGATAAATGTATGGAAATGGGTATACACATCTCACAGCGTGCACATGAAGGACAGAGGCTGACTGTGGAGCCGACGTGAGGCTGAGGGTGACCTTGAATTTCTGATCCTGCTGCTCTCAAGTGCTGAGATTACAGACATGTGCCATCACATCTGGTTTATTCAGTACTGGGGAATGTGAGCAGGGCTTCATGCCTGCTAAGCAAGCACTCTATCAACTATGCAAACTGTGAGCGCGCTGAGGACATGTCAAAAGTCTAGCACTGTAGAAGGAATGTTAAATGTCTAGCCTAGCTCAAGTGTTGAGGGGTTAAAATGGTTCTTGTAGCTGCATCCCAGCCATGGGGTCACTTTATTTTTTTTTTTTTTAATTTATGTGTATGAGTGCTTGCCTGTATGCGTGAATGAGTACCACATATATGCAGTGCCCTCAGAGACCAAGAGAGAGTGTCAAGCCCCCAAACTGGAATTACAAATGGCTGCAAGCAACCGTATGGGTTTTGGGAACTGAATTCAGATTCTCTAAGAAATCAGCAAGTTCCCTTAAATCACTGAGCCAACTCGTCATCCCCATGGGCCACTTTTGTTGGCTTGTTTTGTTTTGTTTGTTTGTTTTGAGACAGAGTTTTCCTACATGATGTGCAGTGTCCTGGAACTTGCTCTGTAGACCAGGCTGGCCTCAGGCTCACAGAGATCTGCCTGCCTCTGCAAGTTCTGGGATCGAAGGGGCATGCCACCACGCCCGGCCTCTGTGGGCCACTTTAGATATTAATACATCTTTTAAGTCAAAAACTGTATTCATGTAAAACTCCCACTTGCTTCTTTCATGATTTGCTATGTGTGGAGAGACGAATGCTTAGGACCACATAATGATACATCTCCTCGTGGGACTGTACTGGCATGGTTAGTTAACACTAGTGACTCAAAAGGACTATCTTAACCCCTCAAAACCTTAGCTACATTTGACGTCTAACATTCCTCCTACAGTGCTAGACTTTCGAAATGTTTTCAAATACCTCACATTTTGCGTAGGTGTATTTTATTCTGCCTTCCCCAACGTAGTCCTTGTAAATATATCATTGTTGCTGCTACCATATGTTTTTTTAAAGTCACCCAGAGCACAACTAAATATTGTTATTTCACTAATACAGAAACTATTTAATTTTGCTGCTCTTAATGTCTTATCATATCACCCCAGCCCCCCAAAAATAATTTTCAAAACACACCTTTTTGTTTAGAAGACCTTTCTCTACTTATTGTCTAAATTATGTCGCTAACACTTTAGAGAGGACTTGAAAACGACTTATGGCATATGTTAGCAGAGAGAGTGGGAGAAAATATGTTAAAGAATTCAAAATCGAGGAAAGGTGGGACACGCGCTAAACACCAAACAAGGTGCGCAAGGGAACAGCCAGCGCGTCACAGCAAGGCCACAGTTAGCGGCTGCAGGGCACACACTGGGATCCTAAGGCTCCCTCTCCCCAGCTTCCCAGCCTCAAGCCCCAGGGCTTCCAACTCCGCTCTACTACCCGTCCCCTCCTTTCCTCTTTCTGTTTGGCCTCTCTGTTTTCAACCACTTTCTAGGTCATTTCAGCCATCTGGAAAGCAACTCCTGTCTTCTTTCTCTCTCTGAGAGCTGTCACTCCTTCGGACCTTACTCCCGAGCCAGGGCCGCCAAGAGCTGGGTGATCTATTTTAGGACTCCTCCAATGGGCTGGCCTCTCCTATGACGACACCAGCCTGCTTCCCTCCCCCGCAACCCCTACTCATCCCTCGAGAAATTTGAACTCCGTGGCCCCTGAAACTGTGACTGACACCCCCACCCAAGGTCTCTATCTGGATCTCAGCTTTTTTTAAAAAAAATATATAATTTTTTTTTTAAGCCAAAGTGAGAGTAGGTCAAGGGGGGTGGGGTGGGCAGTACCTCTTTGCAGGCGTGAAGCTCGGGTCCGGTTCCCAGGGTCACCTGGAAGGTGGTCCCAGCCCAGAGCAACAGCCACAGAAGCCGGGATGTGCGCCTTCCCGTTCTTCCTCCGCCTCTGGCAGAGGGACGAGGGTTGTGACCAGGCTCAGCCATAGCGCTGTCCTGAGCCAGCGGCTGTAACGGCTCAGGTGCTGCGGCGGCTGCTTATGCCGGCAGAAGGAGGAAAAAAAAAGAAGAGGGAGGTACACAGCCGGGAGGATGCAAGGGGCCGGGCTCGCTTCAGTCACCTCCCTGCGGCTACGCCAAGGCCGCCCATCCTTCCTCCTCCCTCGGTCCTCTCCTCCTCCTATCTACGTCGCCTTGACAACCGCATCTTCTTCGCTCAGCGCGGGTGGGGCAGGAACCACGCGAACCTCTGTGGCTCACCTGCCGGTCTCCATGGCAGCCGCCACCGCTGGCGCGCGGCGTGGGATTGCGCGCGCCGGGGTTTGCAACTAACCCAACAGGCTTACGTAAAGCACGCCGCAGAAGAAGCCTCCAAACCATCTGCAGCCGCTCATTTCGCCCCTATTGCCGCTCTTCCTGGCCAGGGGCTGTTTCTAAGCATCTCTCATCTTGCATCATGTGAAACGTTAAAGGGAAGACAGCCGTCATCGCCACCTTCCACTCCTTAGAGTGACCCCAGCACTAACTGCAATAAAGCTACCTGCATCCTCCCACCCCGCCAAATCCATCAATGTTTTTACAGCCGGCTCAATGAGCAACCCTGACGTCTGCGTAGTTAAACAGCAAAAGGATAATTTTCCAAGCAGGACGCGTGAGATTTTTTTTTTTTTTTTAACACATTCTCTTACTCTGCTTTGAAAATGGGGACGGTTGGTTTGTTTTGGTTTTGGGTGGAGGTGGGAAGGAGACCTTTGGGTCATCTTTTAGGACTTCCTTCGTCAGCTTTTGCAGAACTCCCGTGTGGTGGGAAGCCAGCGTTTTCCAACTGAGGTCTCCTTTCCTCCGTATCCACAGCAGCCTCCTCCCAAGGAACCTTCTGAGTTGAACCGCCAGGTGGCGCATCTCTCGAAGGGAATACCTCTCAGTCATAAACGGAGGGGTAGTTGCCGGGCAACTGAAAACTGGGCGTTCCAAACACTTGGGACCAGGTACCCTCAGCGAGCCAGGTCCTGCTGCGGCCGCGTTGATCTCCAGGGAATAAACGTGTGTCCCTGGGTCTTTAAGCATGCCTCACACTCAAGAATCTTTCTCGCACGCTGTGATAAGTGATGAAGACAACAACTTGGGAAATCCGCGGACCGCTAAGGTACACGTGAAATTTCCTCAGCAAATTTCCCTGTAGGGTCTCCAGCAGATTCATGGTAACCTAACTCTAGTGAGATCACCGAGTACCAGAGCGATCTGTTTTCTGCCTGTCTCCTAGGACCACTTTTAGGGTTTGCTAATGTTCCGGAAGTGGTTTTGAGCAGAGGGAATGAAGTCTAATATAGAAGAACAAGGCCCGTCGAAGCAATGACTAATATAGGTGATGGGGAAGCTGGTTTCCACCAAGCTACCCTTTTCTCTTGTTTAGAAATCTGTAGTCCAAAGACAGATGAGATGTGGAATAGAAAAGAATCCTCTGAAAGACACCAGGCCAGACCTCAAGCAAGTCTTCACGATACCTCTGTCCTTCGGTTGATGCAAGAACACATTTGTACATATGTGTGTTTAATGTAATTGTTTTCAGTGGTCTGGAAATACAAGCCATCTTTTTCTAGTATAAGTATTTGGGATATTTGAAGAGGTGCACAATAAAGTGAATTAGGTGGTAAGTTGAGCTTGGTAACAACACCAACGAACTTCCTTTTACTTGATATTTGTTATTTATCTGCTAAACACTGAGGGCATAGTCTAAACTCAGAGGTAGTTACTGTCCAGTTAGCTTCATGGGGAAGACAGGCCAGCAACAGCATCAGTCAAAAATGCATAGACAAGTAAAGCACGTGCCTGTGGTCCCAGCACTTGGTGGGCAAAGGCAGGAGGATCAGGAACTCTCGGCCTGCCTCAGTGGCACATGTATTGTGAAGGAGCCACAGGTAGAGTTTCCTGAGAATAGGAACTTGAAGGGGGAGAAGGTAAGTGACATCCAGATGAGTTAACTGAAACATGTGAAAAGGGTGAGAGAGAGAGAGAGGTTAGGAAGAAGAAACGAAAAATCAGGTAAGGAGAGGCTGGATGGGAGTGCTCCCTAGAGTTCAAGAATTGGTTCTATCAGGGCATAGTTTCTAAATACATACGTTAGGTCAGTGTGCTTGGTGCCGGTGATACAGTGGCGAAAATGTTCATCTTTATATCCAAGGAAAATCAACCTTTTGTTTTTCTCACTAATGTCTTTGGGGTTGATAAGAGCCGAGTGTCCAGCGAGCTTTTTTTCTGGGGTTCCTTTCCTCCACGAGTTAGTCTTTCCTGCATAATCTTTTTCTCACCTAGACCCACACATTCTGACTTTGTTCCCCATTGCCTCTCATGGAACCCTCCCCAGCCCAGTGAAAATATTGTCCTCATGGAGCCTTTTGGTCAAGCTCTTTTTCTGCAGGCCTCGACTGCTACTGCATGTGCACAACTTGCTGTCTTGTTTGTTCCCAGCTCTCCAGCAAGCCACACCGTAGCATGTATATTTTTTAAAATCGATTTTATGAGATTCTTCTATCTCTACCTCCCTTTACCCCAGTCCCTTCCAACACCCCAACACCAGATAGAGAAAGAAGGTTAGTGGGAGACATAGACCTCTTTAGACTACTTCCTGCTGTTTAGGGATGTAGTTCCTTAGGGCAAGTCCAATCTTTATAGTCAGGATATCCAGCAAACCACAAATGTAGCAAACCACAAATGCAGCAGCAGCAGCAGCAGCAGGAATGGGCAACAGTAGGGAAAGCAGCAATCCCATCTGGTTCTCCCGGAACCAGTAAACTATCTGTAGCTGGCAAACCAGAGCATCAGATAATCATAGATAACAGCTGTGGACAAACTAAAGCAACCCCAAATCCCACACCTGGGATTAAAACAAAAATATGTTTACATAACATAACTGAGGTTTTTATTTTAAACATTTATTCATTTATTATGTATACAGGGTTCTGTCTGCATGTAAACCTGCATACCAGAAGAGGGCAACAGATCTCATAGATGGCTGTGAGCCACCATGTGGTTGCTGGGAATCGAACTCAGGACCTCTGGAAGAGCAGCCAGTGCTCTTAACCTCTGAGCCATCTCTAAAGCCCATAACTGAGGTTTTAAAGGAACCAAAACTTCCACTACACCATACACTTCCAGGTTTCTGTTAATTAGAACTTTCATCGTTTCTCCGAACTTGGAACTTCTAAATACGAATGTGTCATCTTTCTGACCTGTTCCCTGAGACCCCTCCTCTACTTCCTGATCCACCAGCTGCTTCTGTTTCTCTGGCCCATTTCGGTCATTTCTCACTCAGAAAGCTTAGGGAGCCCAGCCCCTGCTGCCATGCCTCTCTGTAGCTGTCCTTCTGAGGTGTAAAATGTCTGAGGTGTAAAAATGTCACGTAGAATGGGATGGAGCCCGGTGATGTCCATGACCCACACTGCACCAGCAAGACGTCCTCTAACCAAGTCTGGCATGTGGTTCCTCTCGCAGAAATTGCTGAATAAGAACCCAGCTCACCTTGCTCAGCATCAGGAACCCTGGACCCGGCTCAACGCAAAAGCCACGATCACCTCCAAGAGGCGAGAAGCCTACTTTTTTGATCCTAAGGTACTTAGCATTGAAATGCCATTTCTTTTGCATCCACGTAGCCTCAATGAATACACTTCCTTGTTTCTTTGTTTGTTTTGTTTGTTTTGTTTTGTTTTTGATAGAGCCTTGCTACATAGACAAAGCTGCCCTCAGACTTAGTAAGTAGCTCAGAACGGCCTGGGACTCTCAATCCTCCTGCCTCAGGCTCCTGAGTGCTGGGATTACAGGCACTTGTCAGCACACCTGAAGTACCTCAGCATATTTCCTTTTCTTCCCCAGTTCAAGGTCTTACCAGATCCACACAACCTATTAAGTCACAAGACTTGGTCCAAATCATTTTTATCAAATTTCTTCTTACACACTGTACCAAATCAAAGGATGGTCTGGACAGTGGTGGTGCACAGAACCTCTCCCAGCACTTGGGAGGCAGAGGCAAGGCAGAACTCCGAGTTATAGGCCAGCCTGGTCAAAAGAGCAAGTTCCAGGACAGCCAGGGCTACACAGAGAAACACTGTCTCAAACACAAAATAAAACAAAAACAAAAACCATCAAAGGCTGGATATGACCATAAATGAGGTAAGGTTAAAGCCAATCAAAGACAATTTTTCTGTGTCACCAGTAACATAGCCTAACAATAAGAGATCATTCTGTCCTACATTCACTTTGTTGATCAGGCTGGCCTTGAACACACAGAGATCCACCTGCCCCTGCCTCTCAAGTGCTGGGCCTAAAGGTGTGTGCCGGCACGCCTGGCTAAAAGATCATTCTTATTGACAAGAGTTCAGACGTCGTCGTCATCATGTACAATGTCTTGTTAGGAGCTGGTGCATTTCCACTATTCCGGGGGATAGGAGAGCTGAATACGATCTGAATACAATAGCTGGAGACAGTCTGACTAGAGTCAAGGCACAAAGCAACCAAGTTCACTGTGAGAGGGCTGATCCCTTTGTAGATACCAAAGGATGATCTGGATTTCCGCTTAGCAGCCTTGTATGACCACCACACCGGGATATTCAAGAACAAAACTGAGATATTGTTGCAACAGGAGACTACTGAGGATATCCGTAAGTAAGTGATGGGATCAGACCCTCTCGACCTTAAGGATGACACCCTACCACCAATTGCAGAAGGTAAAATGACACCTGGGACTATGAACAAGTCCATACTTGGGTGTGTGTGTGTGTGTGTGTGTGTGTGTGTGTGTGTGTGTGTGTGTGTTTTAAGCTACAGCATAGTGTGTTTTTGTCTTAAATGTTTTAAATGTGCGGGGGGTCAAACCTAGGACGTTACTCATCGCTGTGAAAGTGCTGTACCACCAAGCTATATTCTTAGCCCTCGTTTCTAGATTTCATTTTTTAAAGATTTATTTATTGATGTATATGGGTCACCTGCCTGTATGTACATTTTCACACCAGAAAAGGGCATCAGGTCACACGTGACTACAGATGGTTATGAGGTGCCGTGTGGGTGCTGGGGAATTGAACTCAGGGCCTTTGGAAGAGCAGCCACTGCTCTTAACCACTGAACCATTTCTCCAGACTTTTTTTCATGTTTTTAAAATAAGCAGAAATCCTCAATTGGCTAGTTCATCTATCAACCTAAATTCATCTAGATAAACAAACAAATGCTTTAATAATTATAGAAGATAAAAAAAGCCTTGTAGAAGAACTTTAATCTAGCAACCTGGCTACTCCAGGTGGAATACAGACACTTTAATCCCAGGAGACAGAGGCAAACAGATCCCTTGAGTTTAAGGCCAGCCTGGTATAGAGCAAGTGTTAGGTAAAGAAGAGTTTAGGTCCAGGTGTGATGGTATACAACTTTAATCCCAAAACTCAGGAGACAAAGGCATGCAAATATCTGAGTTCTAATCAGTTCTGTTAAGGCAGATTAGTTGAGTCAGTGACTTGAGAGGCAGTGCAATGGAACTGAGTTTGTGGCAGTTCAGTTCATGGAATTCAGAGGCAGTTTAATTAGAAAAGTTTACAGAGACAAGTTGTAGAGAGAGCAACCTAGACACAGGTGAAGACAGAATGAGCCAGAGAATAAGAACAAGACTCGAACATATTGCCAAAGTTAGTATGAGACGAAGCAGAGCAATTCAGTCAGAAACCAAGATGGAGTCAGCTGGAAGAGGAGTTTGAGCCATAACAGCTGAGTTGAACCAGCTAGCCAGAGTTCAGAAAGAACAAGAAAGGGTGAGCTTATTCAGCAGTAAGTCTCAGAGGCTGAAAACATTTTAGGATTAGATTTTACAGAGTCTAGAAGCTTCCAGGACTAGGCCTAGGTTAGTAGATGGAGGCAGTAGGCCTCCGAGATGATAATTACATCAGGTGTAAATAAATTACTCTAACAGAGCCTTGGACTTGAGGTCTTAGAAAACGATCTTTCCCCCTCATGGTTTGCTTTCTGATTCATTTTACTCTCCCCTGTTCTCCTCCCACCATTTTCTAGGAAGCAGATGCAGTTTCCTGGAGAATCTCTCCAGGCTCCTCCAGCACCCATTACTTCCCGGGCTAACATCAGGCACTGGATTAGCCCTAAGAAAGAGTCCATCCATAGCATCCAGGGATCCATAGGTGAGGATTAGGAGACAGGGTGAGCACATGGGTAGTGCTAGAGAATGACCAGCAACCAGAGGCGTGGGGTGACTGGCTGAAAGGAAAGATCAGAGACTACAGGGGGCAGGAATCTGAGATTAAGTTGTCACCCACTACACTAATACTAGGTGACACGCTGGCAGTAGAACTAGGGAATTCAGACATTTTGAGCAGGGCGAGCACAGGATATAAACTCGGGAGTAGAGACCTTAGTTAACCTCCGTCAGTCAGTCCGTCCTATCTCAGCTTCCCACCTTTTCAAGAATTTTCTCACTGTGCCAATAAATGCGTCGATTAAAGGATTAAAAGTGGGCAGGGCCAAAGGGTCTGAAATCCCAGCCTCAAACCATTCTCTCCTCTTCACAGTGTCTCCTCATACTGCAGCCACCAATGGAGGTTACTCCCGAAAAACGGATGGTGGCTTCTTCTCCACCTAGTGGTGACAAACCAGGCCAGTTTCATCATAGTGGAACATCTTGCCTCCCATCTTCAGTAAATAGGTTTGTTCAAGATGAAGCCTGAAGTGTCTGTTGCCCGTGGCACTTTTGACCACTCTTAAACTAATGAAAATCCCCCGATTCTAGAAACTACTTCTGTTGGGTAAAATTGCACCTTGGAAAGTCATTTTGGCAGAAGTAAGGATTTAGGACAGGACAACACTGGTTTGGATGGGATGCATCGGCACTAAAGGTCAGGGAAACAGGAAATAGACATAGCCCGTTCTTTTAATCAGCAGGTTATCACTATGATACTAAGAACTCCAAGATGCTAACTGTGAAGGTCACATGAACAGATTTTAGACCTCTAGAGTTTGGTCATCTGCTTTTCTGTGAGAGCTCCATTTCCCTGGCCCTGTTCCTTGCCATTGCTCAGTCTCTGACTCTGCCACCACCTGGAGTCAACTCTCTTTTCTGTGTTAATTTTGCCTGTGGCACATAGCTCCAACCCTCACAAGCATCAATTCCAAAACTTGATGTTTGGATTTCAAGGTTCCAAAAAATTGGACGCCTTAACATGATTGCTGATCTTACAAGTCATGGTGCTGAGGAGGTGGCTCAGCAGATGAAGCGCAAGCACGAGAGCCTGAGGTTTGGATCCCCAGAACATCTGGGGGCAGGGATGAGGGCGAGAAAGGCAATCCCGGGGGCTTGCTGGCCGGCCAGTCTATCAGAATCGACTGAGTTCCAGGTTCTATGAGAGATCCTGTCTCAAACAATCAAATAACAAGGCAGACAGAGAGAGAGGAAAATACCCAGCTTTAACCTCCGGCCTGCACAGGTGTGTAAGCAGGGGCATGGGAATCGGCACAAACATGCACAAAAAAATTTTTTTTAATTGAAAAAAAGTACCTATCACTAAAAGAATCTGTTGTCACAAAAAAGTTTGGGCAAAAATGGCCCAATGACCTTTTGAATACTGCACTATAAGGTATGTGTAGTGGTACAGACTTATAATTCCAGCCCTCAGCAGGTAGAGACAGAAGAATTGTAGAAAGTCCCATGTCTAATTAAGTCTGACAGCATTTCGTCATTTATAAGTCAGATACAAAGGGAGTTGTTTTCCCAGGAACTGCCATATTCCCTTTATATTAAAATCTTCCAGGGGCTGGAGAGATGGCTCAGTGGTTAAGAGCGCTGTCCGTTCTTCCAAAGGACCTTGGGTTCAATTCCCAGCACCTACATGGCAGCTCATAACTGTCTCTACCACCAATTCCGAGGGGTCTGACACCTTCAACATAAAATGAAAATTAAATAAATTACAAAAAAATGTTTAAAAATATTCTAAAAAAAAACCTTCAGTTTCCTCAGTTAGCATCTGCTGCCATGTGGCAATATGAAGTTTCCACACTGGGAAGCTGAGACAGGAATATCAGGAATTCAGGATTGATTGTCCTTGGCTATATAATGAGTTCAACGTCAGCCTGAGAGCACTCATTCTGAAAATTTGAACAAGAAGGAATTCTCACAATTTCATTTCTCAGGGCAGCATTAGCCTGATCCAAAACTAAAGATAAAGATACACATACTCTTACACACACACACACACACTGACTCATGCTCTCACACACATATGCATATGCTCACACATTCACACTCACATTTATGCACACTTAAATACATATTACACACATATAAGCACCCTCTCACGTGCACACATCTTTTTTTAAAAAAGGAAAACTTAAAGACCTATATCTGTAATGAACATTATGGTGGTTTGAATAAGAATAGGTTGGGGTTAAAAGGTATGCACCACCTCTTCCGGCTAGGCTCCCATATTTGACTGTTTCCCAACTGGTGGACTGTTCTGTAGGGATTAGGAGGTGTGGCCTTGTTGAAGGAGTTGCGTCCCTAGGCGTGGGCTTTGAGGTTTCAGAAGTCCACACCATGACTGCTGCCATGTCCCCTGCTGTGATGGTCATGGACTAATCCTCGGAAACTGTAAGCAATGTTCCAATTAAATGTTTTCTTTAAAAAGTTGCCTTGGGCTGGATAGCTAGCTCAGAGGTTGAGAGCACTGTCTGCTCCTCCAGAGGTCATGAGTTCAATTCTCAGCAACCACATGGTGTCTCAGACCATCTGAATAGGCATCTGATGCCCTCTTCTGCCATGCAGGTAGAACATTCAAATATATAAAATAAACAAATAAATAAAAAGTTGCCTTGGATTGCTGGGCATGGTGGCTTATGCCTTCAATCCCAGCACTCAGGAGGCAGAGGCAGGTGAATCTCTATGAGTTCCTATCCTGGTCTACAAAGTGAGTCCAGGACAGCCAGGGCTATTGCACAGAGAAACCCTGTCTTGAAAAGCCAAAGAAAAAGAAAAAGAAAAAGAAAAAGTCGCCTTGGTTATGATGTCTTTTCAAAGCAATAAAACAGTAATTAAGACAAATTTAAATGCAAAAACTCAAGGTACTAACCATACAATGGCACATTAAAAGGATTACTTACTGTGATCAAATAAGTTTAATATGTATGATAGTTTAATATGTAAAAATCAACAAACGTGTCAACAGACTGAAAGATAAAACCCATATGATCATCTCAGCAGATGGAAAAAAAGCATTTGATAAAATTCAACATTCCAGGCTGGAGAGATGGCTCAGAGGCTAAGAGCACTGATTGCTCTTCCAGAGGACCCAAATTCAATTCCCAGCAACCACATGGTGGCTCACAACCGTCTATATTGTGATCTGATGCCCTCTTTTGGCATGCAGGTGTACATGCAAATAGAGATTCGTGTATATATATAATAAATCTTTTTTAAAAGACTCCCACATCTCCTCCAGGATAAAAACGGAAGAAATCAGGTATTGAAGAATGGCCCGGTTGGTTTTATGTCAACTTGACACAAGCTAGAGTCATTTAAAAGGAGAGAACTTCAATTGAGAAAATGCTGCCATAAAATCCAGCTATAAGGCATTTTCTTAATTAGTGATTGGTGACAGAGGGCTCAGCCTGTGGTAGGTGGGGCCATCCCTGGGTTGGTGGTCCTGGGTTCTATAAGAGAGCAAATAAGGACAGGCAGAGAGTAGGAAGCCCCGCTGGGGGAGGAGAGCCCTCCATCCTGCGCTGATCTCAGAGAGCTGTCCGGTCATGGAGGTTGCAACCTTCAGCAGCAGGACCCTCCAACACACGTGTGCTCACGCACCAACATCATAGCCACATCTGGAGCTGATGATACCTGTCTTACTGCACTATAAAGGTAGCAATAGAAACAGCATGTATTGATAAATATAGATACTTAGACCAATGGGGCAGCATGAAAAGCCTCCACATCTCCAGTCGATTGGTCTTCAACACAGCTGTTAAGGAAGCACATTGGAGCCACTGTGGTGGGGTAGAGCATTTGGTGCCAGCACTCAGGAGGCAGAGGCAGAGCTTCAGAATGAAACCCTGTCTAGGAATTAAACAAAACCCCTATGTGCTGGTTAATTTTTTTGTGAACTTGACACAAACTATGATCATCTGCAAAGAGGGAACCTCAACAGAGAAAATGCCTTTATCCGGTTGGCCTAAAGACACGTCTGTAGGCATTTTGAGACATGTTTTATTGAATATATATACACGTTTAATTGAGACAGGGCCTCTATATCATGTCTGTATCTCTACAGTATGGCTGTTCTGGAACTTGCTACGTAGACTAGGCTTGCCTCAAACTCACAGAGATCCATCTACCTCTGCTTTCCAGGAGCCGGGATTAAAGGCATGTGCCACATGGCCATTAGGGTACTTTCTAAGTTATCAATATGGGAAGGCACAGCCTATTGTGGGCAGTGCCACCTCTGGGCAGGTGGTCCTGGGAGCTATAAACAAGGTGGCTGAATGTGCACCTAGAGAGTAAGCTAGTAGGCAGCATTCCTTCGTGGTCTCTGCTTCAGTTCCTACCTTCAGGTTTCTACCTGAGCTTTTGTTAAATCCTTTCCTCCTCGGGTTGCTTGTGGTCATGCTGTTTATCATAGCAATAGAAGGCAATACAGAACAACATACACTTTTCACTGGAAATCACCCCACTTCCGTTAGGACGGGACTAAGACAAAGATTCCAAGTACTGGCAGTCAGCCTGGGGATGAAGCTCTGGGTTATATGGGAGTCCCAAACATCCAGAGGAGTTGCTAGCTAGCTAGTAAAGACTTTCTATTGGCTTAAACCCATATCCAAGCAGTCTTCTCTGGTGAATTACCAACAACAACCTAAGTTTGATCCCTGGAGCCCACGTGGTGGAAAGAAATGACTTCCACAGGCTATGCTGACCTTCACACACCCATAAACGCTTGTGCACACATACAAGCACAATAAAGTGGGGGAAAAAGTTTAGTGGCAAAATGTTTGCTGGTGTGATGAAGAAAATGTGCTGTATGTACACAACTGTCTTAAGATTTGTATTGGTTTGATGAAAAAAAAAAAAACGACTAAAGCAACTTGAGGAGAAAAGGGTTTATTTGGCTGATACTCCCACATGGTATTGCAAGAAAGGAAGGGAGGGAGGGAGGAGGAGGAGGAGGAGGAGGAGGAGGAAGGAAGGAAGGAAGGAAGGAAGGAAGGAAGGAAGGAAGGAAGGAAGGAAGGAAGGAAGGAAGGAAGGAAGGAAGGAAGGAAGGAAAGAAAGAGGAAAGAAAGAAAAGAAAGGAAGAAAGAGAAGAAAGAAAAAGAAAAAAGAAAAAGAAAAAAAGGAAAAAGGAAAAAAGAAAGAAAAAGAAAGAAACAGGGCAGGATCCTGGAGGTAGGAGCATAATGCAGAGACCATGGAGGGTGCTGCTTACTGGCTTGCTCCAAGGCTTTCTCAGCCTTTCTTTAAGAACCCAGGACCACCAGCCCAGGGGTTGGCACCACCCACAATGGGCTGGGCCCTCCCCATCAATCACCAATTAAGAAATGCCTTACACAAGCCAATCTTACGGAGGCCATTTTCTCAGATGGTTTTCCTTCCTCTCAGAAGACTCTAGCTTGTGTAACGTTGACATAAAACTAGCCAGCACAGTAGAAGAGTATACACCCAAGGAAAAAAGGATGAAATCCCATTATGCAACAGATCTGGAACTGGGGAACATTAAGCCACGCACAGAAAAGCACATAAACAAGTTGCTAAATGCTCTGCTAGGAGTTGACAGTGTAACAGTAATTTACCAGAGGCCGGGGAGACAAGTGACAGATGGGGGAAAGGTTGGCCAACTGCTCTGCATCATTCTGATGGTCTATTCCATGCTGAGGGTATTAAAAACAGTAATGTGTCCTGTATGTAACACGAGATTTCAGACAGGGCTGGAGAGAGAGCTCTGCAGTGAAGAGACAGAGACCCTTACCCTAAAGTAGACATCACACAATGTACAGATGTACCAAAAAACCCCAACTAAGTATGATTTGTATGCCAATTAAAATTATTTTAGCATGCCAGACCGTGGTGGTGCAGGCCTTTAATCCCAGCACTTGGTAGGCAGATCTCTCTGAATGTGAGGCCAGCCTGGTCTACAGAGCGAGTTCCAGGACAGCCAAGACTGCAACAAAGAAACCCCCTGACTTGCCGGGTTCGGTGTCACACATATTTAATCCCAGCACTCAGGAGGTAAAGGGAGGAGGATCTGTGAGTTCGAGGCCAGCCTGGTCGACAGAATGAGTTCCAGGGTAGCCAAGGATACACAGAAAAACACTGTCTGGAATCAGCAGGAAAAAAAAAAAAAAAAAAAAAGAACTGAAAAAATGATAACATATTTTAGGGGTAGGGCAATGGTTCAGTAGACAGTGTTTGCTACAAGGGTGAGGATCGGACTCGAATTTCCAGATCCACTAGGGGAGTGTGTCTTGTGCAACTAGCTAAGATGACCAGAAGCTTAGCATTCTGGGAGTTCTGCCTCAGGAAGTGAAGAGGGGTTTGAAGTTAAAGATCTGATGCCAGCCTCAGGCCTCCACACGCACACAATAACCTATACTCTCTCTCTCACACACACACACACAGTCTTTTTCTTTCAGCTCAACGTATTAGTAAAATGGCTGTAATCCCAGCCCGGGAGGTGGAGACAGTCGTTCAGGAATTCGAGGTTATCCTCAACTACTAACTAGATTCCAGCCTGAGATACAAAGTGAAGAGCTTGAGGAAGACCTTAAAACCTTAAATCATACACGGCCCATGCTAATTCACTACATATGGAGCAAGCCCCTGGACCCTGTGGTTTTTTAGTATACGCTCTCTAGCAGAAATATTCCTCAGCAGACGGCGTGGTGCCTTTTAGCCCTAAGAGGATCGCTGTCTGCATTCAAAGAAATCACGAACCAAGCCCAGACTAACGAAGGAGGGGGAAAACGACTCAAAAACAGGGTGGGAAGAAAAACTGCGGGGACAAAGGCTCCTCCTGGACGCGGCGGCGTGGCGTCTGCAGCGCACGGGGCCGCAGGCGTGAGCCAGGGCTCGGCGGCCGGGTCCCGGGGCCGGGCTCAGATCAGAATCGCCTCGGTAATCACGGGCCGGGACGGGCCCAGCCTCGTCTATCTGATCAATTCATCACTTCTGAGCGCCGGGCCCGCGGGCCCGATCGCGGGACCTCGGGAACCGCGGCGCCGCCACCGCCCAGGGGGCCTCGCTGCACAGCGCCCCGCCGAGGGGCTTCGCAGGAGGGATGCTTTTCATCTCGGGGCGGCCCGGCGGGGCGGGGGTCACGACCCGATCAAATAAGATCAAGGTGTAGGCGAGGGGAGGGGCGTGGGGCGGACACGCACTCGCCTTGCACGTCCCCACACGCGCGCACACGCACATTCACACCGCCACTCGGCCCACACGCACCATGCACGCGGCACCACGACACTCGGCTCCATCCGCAGCCCCAGCCGCGCACCCACTCGCGAAGAGGCGGAAGTCGCACCCCCTTTTAAACGCTCGGTCTTGTCGCAAAGGATTCTGGGAGGAACCACGGAGTGGTCGGGCGGCTCCCGTGCGCCGGGTTTGGCCGGAGCGTTCTCTTCTGCCTCCCTGTGGCTGGGAGGTCCCAGGAAAGAAGCCCTGATTTCCATAGCTAGAATTGGGGTTTGTTGTGTTTGGTTTGAAAGTCTAAGTCGTCCAACCTGGTGTCCAAACTCAAGACCCTTCCGCTTCGGCCTCGGGATGCTGAGATTACACGCAGACAGAAAGCCCGGCTTTTTTTTTAATATATTATATACGTTTGTACAAAATGTAAATATGTATATTCCCGTCTAGTTTTTCTTTGATTTGACCTTTTCTTTGCCCTAAGTTAAAAGATACACAGTTTGCAGCTATGAAATGCTGCAGTCTCAGACTTCTATGTGGTGATTTAGTTACCATGTTTTTATCACCCCTAGGTTATCACTAACGCTCTTCCAGGAGTGCCTTCTCCCTGACACTAAGGATAATTTAGCACACGCATTTATTGGCAGGATGTGAGCAGTGTGTCATGGTGTACATGTGAAGGTCAAAGAACAGCTTGCAAAAGTTGGTTCTCTCCTTCCACCGTGTGAGGAGGAATCAGACTTTAGGGCGGTGGCTTCCGTAGCCGGCGCCTTTACCCACTGAACCACCTTGTAGACCAGTAAATAGTGTTTAATCAAAGGTTGCTTGAGTACTTAAAGAGACAGGGTATCTGCAAAATGGGGAAATTAGACCCACGTGTCCGTAGCATCACTTACAGAGCCTCCGGGTTGTCCCGAACTTGAGTCATATTGCTTATCTTTCATTTACATTCATTCCATTAAAATGTATCTGATTCTTTGCCAACTTGATGGGGGAAGCCTTTAATCCCAGCACTCGGGAGGTAGAAGCAGGTTGAACCTCTGAGTTCAAGGCCAGTCTAGTCCACATACTGAGTTCCAGGCCAGCAGAGCTATATAGTGAGACTCAAATAAATAAATAAAAATAAATCTGATTTTCAGGTTCCATGAGCGAAAGAACAATTAGGTGGATGCGCTTCCCACTGTGGAAAGCATGTTAATATTCTATCCCTCCTCTGTCCTTTTTCAGTAAGGGGTGAGGAGTGGCACAGATTTTTAGCCGTTAGGAGAAAATGAGTTCTAAAGCTGTAATTTGTACTTGTATCATTCCTAGTTGGTATGTTCAATAAAAAAATATGGAAAGTAACCATCATATGATCCAGAATCCTATTAGCTCAGGTATTTTCTAAGGGCCTGGGTGAGTAACATGATAACCATTGAAACGAAGTTCACCAAGAATTCCAAATGACAGTTGTCTTTTTGTTTGCTTGCTTGCTTTGGTTTCTTTTTTTGAGACAGGGTTTCTCTGTGTAGACCCGGCTGGACTCAGTGATCTGCCTGCCTCTGCCTCCCTGAGCGCTGGGATTAAAGACAGGTGCCACCACACCCAGCTGACACTTGTCTTTTAACAGTAGTAGGTGGACCTGTTGACTAAATGTATTAGAGGTGCTATCTACCTCACCTGAAAGCTTGGCCATCATAGCCTCTCAACTGTATCTTGTATCCAATTAAGCTTTACAAAGAGCTCACCAAAACAACAGTATTTACTCAGGTAAGCCAACATGCTAGGCCATGGGCAGAACCGGAGAGCACTCAATAGTTCAACAAACACACAAGAAAAAGCAGACAAAAACCACAGGGAAAAACATTTTATTTTCAAGGATTGTGCCAACAATGGTGAATAAAAAAATGGTATTTCAACTATAAAAAAGGATCTGATTTCATTTTACCCTGGCGCACAGGGTTCATGGTGACGCCAGCTTGAATCTGAAGCAATATTGCTACTCTCATACCTCCGTCCCTGAAGGACTTCCCCTAGAAGAACAATTTATCATTTTTCCTCTGCCAAAACAAAACAAAACAAAAAGATCAGACAAAATAATAAGTACAGCAGGTTTCTATTTACCTGTTTACATAAAATCAAGAAAAGAAATAGGCTATTTGCTCCTTCATGTACTTTTTGATACATTCTGGTAGGAAAACATCTCAAAATATAACAAGTCAGCGTTTAGGCTAAGAGGACCCATGAAAGAAGCTGCAGAATGAAAGCTGTTTAAGAAATGAAGCTGTTTTTATAGAGCAAAGCTGGAAATGGCAGCCCTATATGAAAATGTCCTTAAATACAAAGTAACTAGTGCTGAACCTACTTCCGGTGGGTCCATAGAGCCCAAACTCACAGCCACAAGATCTCTCCAGATCCATTTCTTTTCTTTTATCTCCTGAAGAAAGATCCTCAGGAATGACCATGGAAAACAGCAATCATTGAAACTTGCCCTGTGGACCAATTCCTGAAGGAAGAGGCTTACACATGCACCATTTACTGGATGACTTTCTACACTGCTACCAACCCCAAAGCACTCAAGCCTATCAGAACCGGAGCTTCCAAGCAACCTTTGTTCGTGTGCAATATGCAGACAAAAGAGAATTTAACTTCTGTGAGTGGCCACTGCAGTTCTACACAATTCAATGTGAACAGAACTGTCTACCCTTGCTTATTATTATCGTCTAATATTAGACCTGTTTTTTTCCATTGGTGAAGATGTTAGTAGCATCTAATCAATCGTTGGATGTTACTTCACATCTAACAGCTGATTCTTTTACAGGCACAAGGAGGGAATGGAGGGATCTTCCCTTCGAATGTTGTCATCTAACATCATCTGCTCAGGAGTCCTCACACTCCATAGAAAAGCCCTGAACACTCAGTTCTGCAAAGCTTCATTTTCCTTTACTCAGTAACACGCTTATTTTATAAATGGGTTATATGAGCTGTCCAATGTGTTAATATCAATGACTTCTCTCATTTCAGTTTCTCATGGTCTTACAGTAAATACAGAGACAGTGAAATACTGCAGTATGAGTAACATTGGAAGTTGGCAGAGACACAACCTATATTGAAGAACAAGCTTGTATCTTTTATAACACAATAAAATTCCCATCTACATAAAACTTTCATCACAATAAATTCGTACACTAGATGGATTTATTAGTGTATGAACTGATATACTGAAATTTACTTATCTCTTCTATCAGAACTTCAAATGCATTAATCAATTATTTCTTCAGTAGTCCCCTTCCCCAGCATTCATATTTAAAAACCAAGTAACGGTACGTAGCACTAAGTAATTTGGAAAGTGTTAAAAAAAAGTGTTAAGAAATAACAAGAGTTGGTTCATTTTCTCTATCAGTTGGTCGAGTGAAGTCTTCTTTGGGGACACTGAGAAGTGGAAAACTGCTTCCTTGTCTCAAGTCACTGCTTCTTGTCTCATTACCGATAACCCTGGATTTCACATGTGCTCAGGTTCTCTTGGAAAAGCCCTCCAGCTACCAGCACATGGCAATCTGTTCTTTCTGCAGTGAGAACCACACTCTTAAGTTCCCAGATGCACAGAAAGAACACATTTCAAAAGCCAAACAATTTGTTGGACTTTCATAACTCCTATTTCCCATCCAGTCCCAACCTTCCTCCCCCATTCAACAGATCAAATTAGCCAATGAAAAAAAATCAAGCCTTAAAAATTATCTCCTAGCACACGCATTTAATTCCAGCACTCAGGAGGCAGAGGCAGGCAGATCTCTGTGAGTATGAGCCTAGCTTGCTCTACATAGAGTTCCAGGACAGCCAGGACTATGCAGAAAGCCTGTCTTAAAAAAAAAAAAGGCTCCTCTTCCACAAAGTCTTCACACAGCCTATATCTTTCCCCAATGAGCCTCAGTTTATAAGATTGTGATAAGGGACTAAGAGCAAAATAGATGAACAGTTGTAGGTTGTTCTTTTCAGTGTTCGGGATCAAACTCAGGACCTTGACAACGCCCAAGCAAATGCACTACCACTGAGCTGCCACCCAGCCCAGGATTTTAAACAATAGGTACATAATCATATCACTGAGGGGTTTAATTTATCTGGACATACAGGCTTGCTGCTGAGGGCTGATTAACACAGAGATCAAAAGAGTTGGCTTTCTGGAGTCTCCTGAAGCAAAACTAATGTTTGTGACCATGAGTTTTCCCCACATATTGCAGGCAGATGCTGCAGTGTCATCTTGGGGACACGGATGATTTTAGCTGAGTTCTCCTACACTGGGTCCAGGTTTCCGACAACTTCTTCATCTTTATCCCCTTGGTTGGCAGTTGATAAGCTGGGTACTTTGGAATTCATTTGATGAACAGGACGTAAAAGGCCATTACAATGCAGGCAATTGCAACAGCAGCATGCAGCCGGGTTCCAATCACAGCGGCTAGGAGACAAACGTAAAGAGATGTTACACCTGGTTCTTCACAAAATCCTTGCTTTCAAAGGATGCTGTAAAACCTCTAAAGAGAACTGCGGGTTTCAAGAGTTTGGGAACATTCTTTTTTTATTTATTTACTTATTTTATATATTCTATCTGTGTTTATACCTGCATGACAGAAGAGGGACTCATATTCAAGTAGGGATGGTTGTGAGCACCATGTGGTTGCTGGGAACTGAACTCAGAACCTCTGGAAGAGCAGACAGTGCTCTTATCCACTGAGCCATCTCACCAGCCCCTGGGAACATTCTTCAACAATACCCTTAGGCTCTAAGCTCTATTGGTTAGCCCTGGCCTCTTTTTACTTTTTGAGGTAGGTTCTCACTGTGTAGCCCTGCTGGCCTCGAATTTGTAGGTAGAACAACAATGTCCTTGAACTCAGAGATCTGCCTGCTTGCCTGCCTCTGCCTCCCAATGCTGGGATTAAAGGTGGGTACTGCCATGCCTGTTCTCCCCAACCCTTTTTGAGACACTCACTATGCAATAGGTATGTGTCACCATACCTGTCCTTATTTTACCCCATTTTTGAAAAAAAAAAAAAATTACATAGGATTCCTGATGAAGGTGCCCAAAATAAAAAAGGTGAAATATATTTGAACTCATTAAGCTAAAAGTTAAGGTTCTAACGTGTTCTCTTAAAAAAAAAAAAAAAATCAGTGGAAGAATATTCTTCCTGCTAAGAGGAATTTCAGGCCAGCCTAAAGTTATATAACTTGTAAAATATCTCCACCTCACCCCAATGAGACAGAATACTAACAGGCCAAGAACAAGCTCCCCTCTTGGCCTCCCAGGTAGCTGGGACTGTAAGCATGTGCCACACACCTGGCATTGTAGGCTTTTGTTTAATCCTAGAATACCAAAATGTATTGTTTGCTTCTGATAAGAAGCAAAACAAACAAGTAGGCCTTAAGTAACAGCAAGGTTAAAACTTACCTCTTCCCTCGACTTTACAAATGACTATTTCATATTGTTGACAGACCCTGGGCAAAGCACTTACCACACAATCGTGAGGACCTGAGTCAAAGCCCCAGAAGCCACATCAAATCTGGTCACAGTAATACAAGTCTGTACTCTCGGCACTTCCAGGAGAAGTAGGCAGACAAGCCCTGGAAGCTCACGGGCCAGAGAGCCAGGTGTACACAGCAGCAAGCACACACTCACATAACAAAGACCAGTCCAAATATAACCCCAGCCCTGCGCCTTCTCATGTACAGAACCACACCGCTCAGAAATGGCTATCTTTTCTCTGTGTCCAGATAAGACCTTACCTTTGTAAAACACACCCCAAACTCCCTTCTTCTCTGAAAGCAGCCAGGTCTTGAGCCGAGGGACTTTCTTGAAGTAGGCACAGGTGCAAACAAAGAGCAAACCAAACACCAGAATCCCGTCCAAGGAGTACACTGTCACATAAAGGAGAAGAGAAAGCCTTTGATGCTGCTCTAGCTCAGGAGAGGTGTTCCTGCCCAGAACGCGGGCTGAGATCACCTCAATGGCAGTGCCAGCACTCTGCAGGAAGGGTCCAGCAACTGGACCTTGCTTGTAAACAGCCCCCTTTCCCACTTCACTCCCCCACCCTCACTGCAAACTAGTGTGGTTCTGGTCTCTTGGGAGTAACTGGTGCTAGTACTAGGCTTTAAGAATTTGCAGAGTCTGAGCATAAAGATTTACATATGTTCCTGTTATAAATCACTCATCTGATACAGGAAAGTTCAGTGTTTAGCCAAGTTTTTCAGATCTGCATGTGTTGGTAAAGCATATGTTAAGTCAGACCATAAAGCCTAATGGACATTCCAAGAGTTAAGCTTCCTATGGCTACACTTTTGCTAAACTCAGTTGATATTTCAAGCATGATACACCACTTAAAAATCATCAGATTCCTGCCAGAACAAAAGATGTGCATAAAAAAAAAAAAAAAAGAAAGACGGGAAAACTGATAAAAAAGGCAGCAGTGGAGCATGCCTTTTATCCCAGCACCTGGGAGGCAGAGGCAGGTAGATTTCTGTGAGTTCGAGGCCAACCTGTTCTACAAAGTGAGACCAGGACAACCAAGACCACACAGAGAAACCCTCAAAAAACCAAACCAAACCAAAACAAAACCACTGATATCCAAGAGGCACAGTGATACACTCCTGTAGCACTGGCATTAGCAAAGCTCAGCACAAACTACAAAGGGAGGCCATGTCCTATTTTTTTGTTTCCAGACACAGCAGGGCTGGCCTTAAACTTGTGGTCTGCCTGCCTCCCTCTTCCCAACGCTGGGCTTAGAGACATGACACATACGTCCTGCAAAGTCCACTCTCAAAAACAACAAAACAAAAATGTGCCTGATGCTCACACACTAGAGGAAGCTCTTAGTTCTGCTTCTTACACGTGTTATACAGGTAAGCAAAATAAATTACATTAAGGTAGAATTTTTTTTCAGTAGTCACTATGCCAGAATGTTCTGTTTCCTAGTCCATATTATGTCTTCCTCTGGGTGATGTTCCTTCTCTAACTTTGTGTCCTATGGTAAGAACACCCAGAAAGCTTCAAATGGATATTACATCCAACCAGTGTATGCCAGTTCCTGCCAGTTCCAGACCACACTGTTCCTTCAGTGAAACTATGTCATCACTAGTTCAGTGCACCAATAGACTCAACAATTTTCATAGATAGTCTTCTGCGTCTATGACCTCTTGTAGACAATGCCAAAATTCACAAGGAGATGACATTTCAGTCTTCAGTGTCAAATCCATGGAAGTCTATGAGCAAAGCTTCCCTGAGCCCCTCCTTCTCTCTCCCTTTCCTAAAAGCCTGACTATAATGGTCTTAACCCATCCTCTAGAATCTGGAAATCATGACTAAAAAATGTTTGAGGCAGCCTGAGATAGTTAGGTTAAATAAACAGTGGGGAAAAGTGCTCCATCATTAACAAAAGGCGTTTTCTAAATCCACCCTTTGCAACATTAGCCAGAAGCTCCAGATGGAACCACCCAGCTAGGACTTCAGAGCCAAACAAGTGAAGACGTTTTGTCATATTAAAAAACAAACAAAAACAACAAAACACTTCTGGGATTGTCTACATTCACCTCCCCCGAAAACTGTGGGGTTTGACAGCATTTCTAGGTCCACTCAACCAGCCTACTGTCCGAAAGTACGACACCTTAGGGAACTGGATGATACTCTCTCTCCTGGGGACTAACAGCACTAACTCTATGGTGATCGACCTCCCCAGTGGCCAGAACCGACTTCTAAGAAAGAAAAGGGAATACAGGGTAATAACCAAAAAGTCAGGTGTGGGCACTAGGGGAGTCTGGCGGGCGTAAGAAGAGGGAAACTGCGAGGAGCATCCCAGGCAGGAGTTAGGGGCTCCCCAGGGTCCAGGGGGGCCGGGCTGGGAGGGGGCGGGAGGAACGGCCACGTCAGTCTGGCCCCGCCTGCCACGTTTGGCCCAGTCCTTACCGCCCCCCTCCGCTCAGGCCCCAGCTCTCACCGTTCGTCATGGCGGTAGTGCCCGGCCGGGCCGAGGGGGTCCGGGCTCAGCGGTGGCGGCGGCGAAGGCGGGGGAACCCGGCTCCCACTTGACACTTCCCGATCCGGGCCGTGGTGACGGGAACGAGCCGTAGTACGCAAGCGCGAGGGCCCAGAGAAGACGGCCGAACTCACCCAGACATAGCCAGCCGATCATCGAGCTAAGGGCCCACCCTGCAAGCCTGCATCTGCGTCCCTACGTCGGGCGAAGCGAGCGTGATCTGCGACGCTTCCTTGGTGGTCATGGCAACCGGGTGACTGCCTGCTCGCCCCTTGCCTGCTCGCCCCTGTCGAGCTAAGTGGCCTGGATCGAGACTGTGTGTTTGAAAAATAAAGACTGGAGGGTTTGGGCTGTGGCTGCTGCTATGTGTGTTTATACGTGTGTGTGTGTGTGTGTGTGTGTGTGTGTGTGTGTGTGTGTGTGTG